AAGAACACTTAATATATATATTTCGTTCTCTTCCATTCGATAGAATTATTTTTCTTCAAAAATATTCGTATCTACGAGTTCCTAATTATTTCGAATAAATCTAGTTTTATAGTTCCAAGATTATAGGGAAACCATTGATCAAATACGCTCGGCAACCGGTTAATACGCACGACAGGGACTATTTCACGACGCCTTGATTCGAATCACGAGGCAATACTTATTCTCGGTTTGTAAAATTTCCAGCCGTCGGCGCGGCCTGTTCCCCTGGATCGTTATTCAAGTTTCGAGGAACAGCTGTGCTACTCAAAGGGGGCCCCACGCCTCTTTTCTTATGGGGTTATGTGCCACGTACCCAGGTCGAACTGGCCTCTGGGAGCCCGGAAGGCCTGTGAATCTTGCGTTGCTTTTTAAACAACCCTGGGCACACGTTCTTGTGTTTAATCCGTGCTTTTTTTCCCCTCAAAAAAATTTGAACTTGACACAATCATTAGACAAAAATGAAAACGTATTGTTGTTTACAAACGCGCGATTTAAATATATTTAATAGGCAAGACTGAGATAAAGAAATATTTTACTTTAATTGAAAAGAAAATCTAAAGAAATTTGGAATAATGTTAAAATATTAATTGTTAATTTATAATTCGTCGTCAAATAAATTCTACTTAAATAAATTAATTCTATTTATCTTCAAGTATCTACAATGACTAATATTAAAAAATTATACAAAAAAATATTAATGAAAAAATCAAATAACTAAAATGAATTGGATATTCTTCGTCTAAATAGTCAAAAATACATTTCTCTATTTATTATGCTCGTTTATACAAAATTCATTTTGACATTCAAAGTTAATACCATTGTCAATATGTAATTCTCTTTGGCCTGAATTATTTGATGGCCATAAAACTACATTACGATTCTTTTTCCCTGTTCAACAGCCATATCTACAATAGGTATACGACACTTGACCGCAGCATTATACAACTGTACCCGAAAAAAAAGAAGAAGATTCGAATCTAATGCACGTGCTGTGTTTCAAAGTAATATCATAGGTTTTTCTTATTTCTTTCGCTATTTATTATATTTTTTGCTATTCGTTCAAATAATTCGTCTCATACGAATCGATTTCATTGTAAAAAGCATTGCATTTTCCGCAAAAAAGAACATTCGTTTTTATTTAAAGCGTTAATTACCATACTGACCACCAGTGGCGTTGCGGTGGCCATTAATGAGCAGTAACGGAATTAACTGAAATATTTGAACTAAATAAACGATTATATTTACTACTTTTAATGTAGAATTATTATATTATAGATTATTATTTATTTTTTTTTCATGTTATACAAATATAGAAACGTAGCAATGAATCTAACCTTTAACAAAGAAATTTTGTCAAGATATATTTCAAATTTTACGAAAAAATTCGCCGTGAATTCACGAAATGAATCAGAATATTTAAAAGAAAACAGATCAATTACTTAAAATATGAAATATTACAAATTATAATATTGAACGTCGTAAAAGCAAATATTTATCCGCACGAAAAGTTATACTATGTGCATAATATAACTGCTTCCTGATGTGGAACGAATAAATGCTTTGTCGCATTCCAATTGCAATTTCGCGAATTCTTCGTGTACATCGTTTATCGATTTGGAGATTGTTTGTACTTACTACGCAAAACTTATTTAAAATATACATGTAAATTATTTATTTCTATTTTTATCTGAATTTAATTTTCATTTTTATACTACATAATCTACTAGATTATATTATATTCATAATAAATAAAAATAAAAACAAGAAAATTGTAAAATATTTTACATTCCAATTTTATGCAAAGTTAATCAATAAATAATTGTGAAAAATTTGCAAATTATTCGCGAAGAAATTAATTAAGAAATTGTTTTAATTTAAAATTTGTAGGATAATAAAATAAAAATATTTAAATATTAAAATATTGATTTTTATGTATAAAAAATTTACCTATAGGATAGAATATGTAATATGCATATATACATATGTGACTCGTTTAACTAAATAATATGATTAAAAAAAATGTCGTTATATATATTAAAATAATGAAACGTTGAAATATTCCTAATCAAAGATAAGGAAAACTTAAAAATAATTTTTTATTCAACCAATGTATAAGTGATAAATCATTGAACTGACAAGCGACAAGAGTAACATATGGAAACAGAAGATTCACATTTTAGTTTTCACACTAACTTGAAAAAGTTATCATAAAATTCATATAAAATTTCAAAATACATATAAAGTTCGTCTTGAAATTGCATTAATCGAATCGATTCATAAATATGTTCAAATGACATATGATCACGAAATTAAAAAAAAAAAAAATAAAGAAAAACAAAACGGTAATCCAAAAAATTCGTATAGATATTTTTTATGTCTTCAGTTTTATTTTTTTCACTTTAATTTGATTTTTCTTTACATGTATATATGCATATTAACAACAAAAATATTTCGAAGCTTTATATACGATTTAACACGGATATATTTTGATGAAAGGCATACGCCCCTTTGACGACTTTACTTTCGAATCTCGTCTAAGAGGTTAGAATATGTCAGGAGGTATAAAACTCGTTTAAATTGTGTCGATTCTTTTCATAGTAGTTCATATCACTTTTTCCCTGTCTATTTTTTTATATTCTCTTATATTCTCTAAGCTAATCTATAAGAAGATAAACGTGAATATAATATATTATAAAATCGAAAACCCAAATGGTGGCCAAACATAACCTTTATGAAAGCACGAAATTATTATTACATAGCGAAAAAAAGATATTTCAAAACATTAGCTATGATGAAATTAAAAGAAAGTTATTTTACAAAAATCACGTTTAAAAGCAAGTAATTTTTAAAGATGATTCAAATAATTCTATTAAAAATTAGTATATATGAACGAATAAATCAATCATTTAAATAAATTTTCTGAAATTTCCGCAATCTGAAAATAAATCAAGCAAGTGAATTGCCTTGTCAGTCCCCTTATTACGTAATGTCGTTGTCAAACCATACGGATATACCGTAATGATGTAGTCGAGCATATTAACTTGATGAAAAAGACATTCCTAATTGTTTTAAATTGAATTGTGTTCGATTTTTTTTCTAACCGTTATAAGCTAAGAAGGAAAAACGTGGAGCATTAAGCAGCTGCTAGCAAGCCAACGTGGCCTGATACTTTTAGTTCTGATATCTCTTTCTATTGTTCCTACCGATGCCATAATAATTGTAGATTCAAATAATAACGTTTATATTAATTTCTGTGAACAAACACGATAATTCTTTGATCGTATAGTAAAGAAATTTTATACGAAATATGGCAAGCGAGTGACGATCGGGTGTCTCTTTTCTTGGCACGACATTACGACACATGTACGCACACATGACTGCTTCGTGACGCGTGCAGAGGCGCGTACATATACATACATCTATACGTATATACACGATACAAGTTTGCAACTCTAGCCTATACGTAAGGAAAAGATATCGCTAAGAATGGCATGAAAAAAGAATAATATTTACTTACCCGATTTCTGAGAAAGTCCTCGATGGCACGTTGCGCCGAGTCGGTGAGTTTCACGAAGATCAGGGACTTGTTTTCGTGAAAATTACTGTGCGACGACAAACCATACTGGACACCTGCCACCAGCGCCGCCATTTCTCTGTCTCTCAACAGTGGGTTCTCTCTCGCACACGTCCCCCTCGTAAAAGCGCACACAGCTGACGTCCTTGTTGGTTAAACGAAACACTTTTTTTTACCTCTACTTGTTACCCCGCGATACGAAACGGCGCATACTACGCGATGAGAAAACACTTGCCGCAATGATACTTTCACTCGGAACAAATCGAGTAAAGACGAAGAGAAACAGAAAGAAAAAAAGAAGGTAGATAGGCACAAAAAAAGAGAGAAAAAGATATACAACCCCCCCCCGAAATAGAGGATTCTTCTTACACGAAGCTCTGGCGCACACGCGTTTTCTTTTGTTTTTCGACGCGGATCTTTTTCACGATCTCCACCTTTGCCACTTCTTTACGCGGTTCGTTTTCTTCGTCACGCTTCGAAAGTGGTAACACCCGCGCGTAGACCACCCTCTCACACGTTCCTGGTCCTCGTTTTCTCTCAACCGTCACATATTAGCGCACCGATACGTCTCATTTCAGATTTTCTCGCGATTGGATACGTTCAGGAGAGAGCAGCGCCCGTCGTTTCGCCGTAAGGAACTACACAACTACACTTTCGAACGACCACCTGGTAGGTGGGGCTTACGGGAGAACCGTCAACCAATCCCGATTTACACTCAAATAGCATGCGACTGTCGATTCTACTGTCCTCCTACGGTCGCAGCCAACGATCGACTGACAACGTTCACTTACATCGCTTGATTCTTTGGATACTGCTGCTGCCATCTACTTTCAGTTTCGATAATTTTACATATACAATTTTGTAAAGGGATAAAATAAATTAATTCTAATATATGTAATTTAATGCTTAATAGAATTATTTATACTTCATGTATATTCGTTTATGTTATATTTATAAATCATATATTCAAAAAACAAAAAAAGAAAATAAATTAATTTCTTTTTTCTTTTTATTTTATTATTATATTAATGTATTTGTTTTGATTTAGTGAATTTATCTTTGGAAACTACCTTTGTTGTATACATATTTTTATTTATTCCTTTTTGTTATTAATATCAGTAAATAAGAAAAAGGATATTTTAAAAAATCATATATTTAATTATTATATATTTGAAATTGAAAATTTTAATTATTGAATATTTAAATTATGTTCAATTAATTGAATCTGTATATACTATTTTTTTGAAATAAATTTTATTTCTTATGTGAAAACAAACTTTAAACGTGATAATAATTTAACCAATTAAAAATATATATATATATCTTATGTAACTCACTGGTGTGGCAGCACTAGTAAAGCTTTATTGTATAAAGGTTATGTTTTCAACGTAATCATAAAGAAAAGTTTATTATTAAATTTGAATTTTTCAAGAATTTAAATATTTAAAATGATTGAAAAATTTACACCAGGAAATGTGCTAATGACATCTATATTTGTTTTTTTGTTACACACAGTATACTTTGAGCCTCGACGATATCGTTTGTACGACATATTTTCGGATCCTCACATCTCTTATGCTCGTCAAATAGAATTGGTAATATAAAATATTCTTATATAATTAATATATTTTATAATTAATGTTTTTTATTTAAGAAATATATTAGTATTAATTTGCATTCAAATACATTTGTGATTAAACTTCGTTTTAAAAGATTAAGTATTTTTTAATAATTTCTATATTTTTTAATAACTTTCGATAAATATTCCAAAAATTTTTTAACTATTTTTAAATTTAGAAAATATTCAAATTTAACAATAATTTATATCAAAATTTTACCGTTCTTTAACTCAAATTCTGATTTAACCTGATCTATTTTGATTGACATAATCTAAATTCTCTAATCTAAATAATAATTCTCTAATCTAAATAATCTAAATTCAAATTATTGAGATATTTTATCATAATTTTAATTATATTAATATTATTGTTTTTTAATTATAATTATGATTAATTTCATATTTTTATTCATTTATTTTTTAGAATTAAATCAGAAAATAATTTAAAAAAAATTATTTTGTTTGGAATTATTAATTGAGTATTATTAAAAAGTAAAGAAATAAATTAAAATTTTTTGCTGTTTAAAATTATTTTTATCAACTTTAAATAATTATGTTATATATATTAAATAATATAATAGAGATCTTAATATTTATAGAGGTTATTCTTTATAGGAAAAGTTGGGTAAAGTATACGTACCAGGGGAACACTTAACTAGAAGTATGTATGAAAAAAAATGAAGCAAAGATTTTATATTGTTTATAATACATGTATAATGCTACATATATACATGTCAGTCAATATTATTGTAGTTAAAAAAATAATTTAATAAAGTATGAATGAAAAATATATTTGTTCTTAATTGATATATTTAAAATATTTTTAATATAAATATAAATATATTTATGACACATGCAAAATAAAAAAATTTAATATATAACAAAAATGTGATATGCAATATATTTTTGTATTTTTGTTCATATATAATTTATTTTAGCATATTGCTATAATAATTTATATCATAAATTGAAGAAAATATATAATTAAAAAAATCTATGAAGATAAATTAAGTGTTAATTAATAAATAATCACATATTTTATTTCTTATATATTTAATTACTGAAATTATTTTAAAATAAAAATTAAATTAACTTATGTGATAATATTATGTTAAATAAAAGGAGGTATTTAAGTAAAATATCTTGAAATTCATAGAATTTGAAGTTTTATTAGATTTTTTAAATTACCTTCCCCTGAGATAGCTTATTCCATTAAGAAAGCCATCCTTTATGTCAATCTCTTATATGTATATGTATGTATACCACTTTATATCGTATAATTTTTGTTCCGCTGTCTATTTAAGAGCACCCATTGGATATGGTAAATTCATATGATTGAAAATTAGACAAGCAGTGCAAATGTTTGTAGGAATAAATAAATATAAATAAATTGAATGTTTTATATCAGAATGTATCGCATGTTAATGTTATTAAGATAATTGTATTAACTGTAGTAAATCTTATTTTGTGACAATAATTGCATTTTACATAGTGTTTCACTTTTTAAGAAACTAATTAAAATATATAAATATTTTACTTTGTATACAGAACAGATATTATAACAAGAAAAATCTTGTTTAAATAAATCGCACTTTTGCAATGTACAATAAATAACGTTTTCTTAGATGCTAAGCTTTATTAACATTTACAAAAGAAAAGCAGATATTCTATGAAATGCTATTTTTTTTAGCAATACTTCATTTTATATAATTTTGGATAAACAAGAACATATGTAAAATTTCATACAGAATTGGTCACAATATATTTCTTTTCTTAACTTGATATGTATTGGATATATTTCAAATAAAAGTGAGAAATATAAAGAATAATAAGAAAGAATAAATAACATAGTATAACAGACAAAATATGATAACAAGATTATCAACATATCAAAACATAAGAATTTTTAAATTCAATGAATGTATATTTTGAAAATGTTCCATTTTGGTTGATTCGCGTTTCTTTCATAAGTTTTATAGATAAATTTTGTAGAAATTACACAGACATGTAATTATGTTGTTGGATTTTTGCTAATTCGCTGAAACACGAAACAACATCAGATTGTGAATGCATAGCATGATCGTGTATATGTACAAGTATTATATATATGTGTAATATTGCAAACTATTATCTTTGAAATTAGTGGGATTAATAGATAAGAGCAAAATTTTTTTACTAAAAAATTTAAACTAGTTTTTGTTATTAACTTTTTTCTGAAATCATTAAATGTCAAAAACAAATTTGGCGTTATTTTTAAATATTTTGAAATTAATTGAATAGAAATAATTGAATAGCTTGTAATATTTCACATAAATCACATACACACACGCACGCACACACATATATATATGTATGTGCAATTGTGTATGTAATATATTTTGCATGATTAGTATATAATAATATTTTACATGTGAGCGTATTGTAATGCAAAAATTATAAATTACGAAAAGATAGTCCAGATAATAAGCAACGTTTCATATAACATGAAAATCCATGTTGTAATTACAATGATGGCAATAATGATGGTTGATATAAAAATGAAAATGATAAAAGTAATGTGATAATAATAACGATTAGATGTATAAATTTCGTTTTCATTATCAGACGAAAATCTAGAGGTCTTTAATGGAACGTAAAAAATAAGCGTAATTTTTATTTATCTACAATAAAAAAAAATTAGTTTAGTAAAAATAAAAAGGAGAAATTGATAAGATCATTTGTATACAATATGTGTATATCTGTATTTTATTTCGATGTATATTAACTAAATCTAAAAATTTTTGAAAAATTAAACATTAACGTACAATAACAATTTTCATTAAAGTAATATAATTAAAAATTTGGATTATGATTAATGGAATGTAAGTCCTCTAGATTATCGATGGTTTCGATAAATTTCATACAACGATTATAGCGATGAAACATTGAGTCACATCTTAAAGTTTATCTAATATTTCATGATAATGAATATATTTTGGTTTTACCTTTCATGTAAAATATGATGATATGGAATGTGGCACAATGATTCAACGATGATAAAACTCTGGTCAACTTTCCTCGTTTGCATTTTATTCACGCACAATATCACCTTTTTATACTCCATTTAACTATTTAATTGATCGATAGACACCACTGTAACAATTTTTCTCATATTCATAATATAGTTTGCATGTTCTTAAATAACATTGTCAATCATTCTCTCTCGCTGTTTTATATTATATCACGTCACACGCATTTTTTAATTTATCGATCGAATCTTGTTACACACGTCGCCAAACAATCTGTTTCTTTCATAATTCTTTTTAAGGATAAATAAATAAATAATCATAATAATTTTTTACATACAGTTTTTATTCCATATGTCGTTAATTACGATGCGCATTCTTATAATTGCATCTGAAAAATTTAAAAATTTTGATATTGTTAAAAGTTTGAAAAAAATTTATTATTATATTATTTTGTTAAAATGAAGATAAATAATATTATATATATGGTAAAATATAATTTTTCTTAATATCTCCTTTCTTATAAGAACGTGAAATAAATATGACAAGTATATATATAAAAATATCGATTAAATAAAATTATTGTGATTATAATTTTTTCGATGACATATGTATATATTTAGTCAAATATGGCGAAAAATGATGAATTTCATTAAAATATAATATTCGATATCTTTATCGATTATCTTTATCAGAATTATTAAATAATTAATTCAATGTTAAAAAATATAAACGAAACATGAACGATCGATGAAATAATAAATTCGAAAAAATACCTGGCAATGCTGGCGTCGCGTGCGTCGATCGATCAAGAGAGATACCATTTTTTAAGGATAGAATCATAACGAAAAATCGTGCACACGTTTAGAGCTAAAAAGATTTGAACTACATAAATGATACAAAGAATAAGCTCTTAGTGCAAGTGAACGAACGAAAGATAAACGTTTATTAATAAAGATCTGGGGTTTGGTATTTTTTTTTTTTTTGTGTTGAATGTGCGTGTTTGTCTCTGATACAATTGCTTTTAGGTTCACCTATGTATATTCGGAGGCTGCGCAACGGTGTGTTGTAATATAATTCTTCTCCCTCTTCATTCGCTTAGTTTCGCGTTAAAAATTTTGATAACAACAATGGTATTCTTTACGGGAACGATGAAAATGTACTCATTACTCGTTGAGATATAATATCTAATAATCATGCAGTCATCCGCACGTACGCACAGAATTACGCGTTTCGTTATTTTCTTTTTGCATCTCTTGTCACATGATTACAAATTTATTCCTTAATATGCTTTACTTACGAAACACAAACATTCTGCCATTTTTTTTCTTTTTTTTTTTTAATATATTTGTTAAGTACAATTATATACGCGTCGTACGATTTCTCAAGCATAGTATTGTCAACAATTGTGTATATATTTGTTCTTTTTTTCTTTTTTCCTTTCCATTTGTTAAATGGTTTCTTCTGCTACATGTTCTCATAATACAGCAATCTGAAGTCTAGTTTTCGAATAATTTCCTTTCTTTGGTTCTGCGTCCATGGTCAGCTACTGAACGCAAAAGTTCGCGATGACATCTCACGCTCTCGTCGAACAAGAACTACGAACACTTAACCTTGTTTCATTATATACATATTTCTTTTCTTTTTTTCTTCGATTTTTTTTTTTAAGAAGAATAATGAATCGATTCGTGCAACGAGATGTTCAATCACAGAAAAATTTTTCGATTTTCGCATTTGTTTTCGATTGTATAAATTTAAAATATATAAATGTTAATGATATATTAAAATGATTTACGGATATGCATTCTCATTATGTAAAGATAATAATACATTCTATTTCTTTTCTTTTTCGATATTAATTTTTTTAACCCTTTAGGGACCATTCTATTTTATATATTTTTTTTCATTCTTCTTTTATATTCTTTTTCTTTCTTCGAATTCAAAGTTATTAAAAGTAATGAAATTCATAGACTAAAAGCTAGATCTATTATTAAACATTCATTTCTAAACATTCATAGCATGCATCACGTTATATTATAATAATCTAATAATACTAGAATAATATCAATTTTATAAATTATGTATTAGTACCGTAATTATATTGATATCTTAAGTAGAATCCAAGATAAAGCACTTGAAAACTGAATTCCGTTTGAGAGTCCCAGCAGGGTTAAATTTTTATTCATTTCAAATTAAATCATTGCAGAGCACTTTTGTATCATTTTTTCTTGAATAACATACTTTTGTGCAATCTTTCCTTTTAGATTAGTCAATATAAAATAAAGAAAAAGACAAAATGTGCACGACAACGATATTTGTTTTGTTTTCCTACGAGCAAACTGTATAAGAAACAACATTCACGCATACCGTTCACGTGAATTTAGACAAAAATATCACTATTAAACGGCAACGTGAAAATTCCTAGTCATTTCCTGTCCTTCGTTGCTCGTCGAAATTCCTCTCTTACCTGATTGATTATTCGACGATTACTTTTGCGTTCCCAGTATCAATATCATCGTATTCGTGTCGTTCTTATTATATTACCGATCGATTACATAGATATTGTGATAATTCGTCACAATTTCTATGCAACATTGCCATGGTATCTTTCGCTATCACACCAATGAGACTCTTCGGACGTTTAACGAGTATAGAGAATAGAAATCGAAATGTTTTTTAAAAGAGAAAAATACTGTTGCTATTGGGAACGGTGTTCACGTGCTTGATGTGTATATGCGCGCGGTATATTGTGTATGTATAATTATGTTTCTATATATGTTTGTCTGTTATGTGTTACATGTTGCATATTCGATTCAATTGTTTATAGACTTGGTAAGTTGGCATTTAGGATAACATAAAAAAAAAACAATTTTTAAATATTATAATAATTTCTTATTTACGATAAAACTTTCGATCAATACGCATGCTTATCTTTATGATTGTTTGAATCTATCAGAAATAATAATTAATAGCTAAATAACAATACAAATTGTTTAATACAATATAATTTATCCATCTTACAATTTACAAATTAATCAATAAATAACTAGTAGATAGACTTGTATTCTATCCGTGTACCAACTTAACAGTTCTGATTGTTAGGTTATACCTTGTGTCTGTTTTTTATTATTATATGTATAAATGTTTATAGGTTATGTGAAATGTATGTGCGAGTGTATACGTGTGTATATGTACTTTAAGGGGTAATTATCACAGAATACACGAGATATTTTTTTTTCATTAAGCTTACGAGATATTAATCGAAGCGGAGAATAGGAGGAAAAATTGGCGGTCAATCCCGTCCACGAAGCGCAATCGCCGAGCGACCCCAAAACTTTTCAGCGCAAAGAAACACACAAAAGATTGTTCCCGTTTCGTCGACGGACTTGGCCTGGTTGCCGAATTCGCCAACCTTTTTTCATTAATTAGTATGTACTTAGGCAGCGGAGAAAATAGACACTTTTACAAATGAAGATGGTGGCGAGATCGCGGATTCGTATTTCTCTTTTTCAATTTTAATTTTTCTTATTTTCTTTTTCATTTGTTTTTTTCTATATTTTCTATATGCGTATTTCGCTGATACCATGTTGTTTTCGTCTGTGTTCGATAAGTGTGCTTTCAAATTCGAAATCTTTTTTCGCTACGTTCGTTTTTCTTCGGTCAAAGGCACACTGGATCGAAGCAACGCGAACGTTGCAAAAAAAAAAAAAAAATGAGTTGCAATGCGTTTGGTGCGTGAGGAACGTTTCGTCGAAAATATTTTAATCGAAACCGGTATACAAATCCGTTTAAACTTACGCATTTTAATCACGTTAACGACGCGCTAAATCTGATGTTTACAAAACAAAATACGTTTAAATTATAACGTAAATTTTCTCTATTCAGTTCTACAATATTTTGTAACGATTTAAAGATATATTGATTTATGAATGATTAATTCATTGTTATTTTTTCTTTGTCTTTTTTTTTTGTATTCAATTGTGAAATATTTGATTTTTGACGCAAAATTACATGGTAAGAAGTAATTTCAGAAAGATATGCGCTTATATGTATAACATGTTAAACAAAATTCTATGCAGAAATTCTGTGCTTGATTCATGCCGCGTATAGACGCATGCATCATCCGGATATGATAAACGCCTGATGTAAATACGTAATTGTAAATATAGCCGAATGTTCCTCATTTTTTGGATGGCTCTCTCTCCAGACGAGTATCCCGCGCTCGCAACTACATCAGCATTTAGATACTATACACAATACGTAAGTATATCTAGACGTACTACGTAGTAGAAACTTTTTTTGTGGATATAATCATTGTAATCTCTGGAATTGTATATCTGGTTGACCTGCGAAGGCCGGAGAATGAAATTTATTTAGTTTCAAAGTCGCGTGCATCTTTTTTTTTGTGTTATTATTAGTTTCCATCTTTCGTTTCTTTTTTCTGCTTTTTTTCATTGTTTTTCCCTTTTTCTTTTATTTTTTTTTTTTTATTTCATTTGCAGATTTCTTGGGAGATCCGATCGAAGCTTCGCGCAAGAATTGCAATATGTATTCTTAAACAAGTGTCTTCAAAGTTTTCGAACGACGTTAGATGCGAAATGAAGAACGTTAAAGTGTCTTCCGCGAGGACTGTTTCCGTTTTGTAGCAGATTGAGGGACTGTTTAACGCGTCCGCCTTTAATTTTCTTTTTCTTTTTCTTTTTTTTCTTTTTATATAGTGGGGGAAGTCTTATATCAGAGAATCGCGGACTTCAACCTTTGTAATCCAACGAACCATTTCTATGAATGGACAATATTTGATCTATTTACAAGAGTAATATCGATGAGATATTTTAAGCGAATAGAGAGAGAAGTATTAATGTCCATTTTTTTTTCTTCGAAGCTTGCGTTCCACTTTGTCGTTTACATATTTTGCTCGCTCACACAAAAAGCAATGATCGTCAAGAGGGAAAGAGTCGAGAAGTTAGATGATTATTTAAGTTATCATACAACTACCACGATATAAAGTTTAATTTCGAAAAAGTTAGGCTGTCGATTCATAGAAATAGTATTTTCTGATTATAATGGATCAAAGATCGGATTCTCTGTTTCACAATATTGTATATTGAAAGAAAATCTAAGGCGGACGAAAGTTCTACTTTGTTTCCTTCTTTCTTTTCTTGTTATTTTTTTCTTTTTCTTTTTTTTATTTATCTTTTTCAGTGGAACGGAATATCGACTTCTTGTATAAGTAAACATCTATGTATCGTCTTCGAAGTTAGACCAAAGGTGATTCAGGGAAAATGTTCGAAGTCTTCGAGCGGACCTCATATTTGTTCACCAACAATAATCAGACTCATACGATCTCTTGTTAATTCTTACAATAAGAACGTACTTTACATTACAATGCCTATTTATTACTAACGGCACGTCTCGAGTAACGTCGTGACGTGCCTATTGGTCGTACGCAATGCTACGTTAAACTGTTATTTAGAAAAAACTTTTTTCGTCAACAATGTGTTTCACATATCTACAAGAAAACTCGTCTTCCCAAACAAACGGCCTAAAACGTCGTCTCTCACAAGGGTCTATATATTTATACGTAGTATTACATCTCCTCGTTGCAGCGCGATTCGCTTTTCAGTTTTGAAAACACGTTTGATTCGCGTTTTATATTTGCAACGTGCTTATGTTCACGGACCCCGATTCGATCGTTCTTTTATTTTCTTCTTCTTTTCTATTCACAGTTAAGCTGCTTCCTCTTCTTTTGTGAATCCATACAGGTCGAGGTCTAATCGCGCTGGATACATTTTACGACTATTTCAACTTCGTTCTCTTTTCCTTACGTTACGAATATTTACCAAATATATTGCGTACTGGCAGCACTGTTTTCACATGTTGCGTCTATTCAAAACACTCTCCAATACCTGAGGTTTCGTATCCTCCATCTTTACGGCACTTGTTTGAACCAAAAGTTCGCCGTCTTGGACGTCTTATTCTATTTTTCTATCATTTGTTTCGAAAGGGTGGGAGGAATCACCCTTTCATTTTTTTCTTTTCTCCCTTATCTAACTTCCATTGGACGAACGTTTCGATTCGGGGACTCTTTTTAAATATGTTCAGGCTCGAAACCCTTCTTTCTTGTTTTCTTTGTTTTGGTTTTGTTCTTTTTTTTTTCTTTCTTTCTTTCTGTTTATTCGGTTTATATAGGGGACGGGGCTAAAGCTCTGTGATTCGTAAAAAAAGACAGAAGAACACGCTCGACCGGAAGCTGGCTGCGAAGGAAGCAAGAAGAAAATATGTCGCGCGACATGCTTTCTTGTTCCCTCACTGACCGACGATGTTATCGTTAGAACCGAAAAGGATTCGGCCGATTGTCCTTATCGGTGATCTTTTTTTCTCATTCGTGTTTTTGTTTTCTTTTTTTTTTTTTTTTTTTTTTTTTTCTTATTACTCGTGTTTCATACGTTTTCGATATCGCATGTATATTGCTCGCATTTTTATTTTTTTACTTTTTATTTTTTTGTTTTGTTTTTTTAAAGACTTCATTCTCGACAACGACGGCCGAACGTTCTATAGTTTCCCCTGTGGACAATACCCCTTCTTTCCTTCTCTCCTTCGAGCTCTTTCCAAACTCGAAGGACGCATCGCTTCGCTGTCGTGGCTTTAATGCTGCGAGTCTCAGGTAGGATTCGGTAAAGGTGTCTCCTGCCTGATGTCACTCTTCAGTTTAACGAATTCCTTCGCAATTTCGTCGTTGTTCCTCTGCGAAAGAATCCTCAGGATTGTCCAACCGGTCTCGTCCATCTGGATTCGTTTGCCGAGCGACAACCAGCAGGCGCAGGAACCTTCCTCGACTATATCCTTGAGCTGCATCACTGCTACACCAACTAGTCTGTCTTCTCTGGCAAAGCAATAATCTTTGCAACAGATGTGCAATTCGTAGAAGTCCAATTGCTGCTGCTCATTGCCGATCATGCTGGATATATTGAAATAATTACGTCAATTCATTGGATAAAGATAATGAATCAAACAAAGAGCAGAAAGAGTTGATGGTAAACTTATCAAAGTATTATTATTTAAGCATTTATATTTGAATACTCACAAGTCGAAGCTCTCATTGAATTGTGGTGACCAATTATTGGTCTTTGATTTTGTTGATTGTTTCCTCTTCTTTCCAGTTAGATGTGGTCCGATCAAGTTTACTTCAACATATGGCCTGAACATTCCTGTAGCTAGTTGCCACTTCAAATCGTTCGCAGCGACAACTGAAAAGTATAATTTATTAGATAATATTATATGAAATGAAGTGAAATTTTATATTTGAAATTTTGAATATAAGATAGATTATTGTGATTGCAGATGTTTTATAATGCATAAAAGGCATAAAGATTTGGATGAGATATACCTTTGACGGTGACTTTTTGTTCGCCAGTTCCAGGATGCGTGAAGAGATCCACTTGAATACTGACTTCTCCAACTGAGCCTTCCTCTGTGCCAGCAGTATCTGGAACTTTATTAAGAACAAGTTAGATTTCATATACAAATTCAAACTTTTTGTCACTACAAGAGAGAAAACAAGAGCCTCGCTGAGGCTCTATTCGAGACTAAAATTTTGAAATTGAATGCTAAAATACTATATAATATATGAATAATATCTAATTCTAGAGCAGATTACATGCTCTAATCATATGCATGGAATTTTGTATCTTTGAATCAATTCATCAAAGAAGACGAAGTTGCTGTATTTGTTAAAGACGCATGGATAATCTCAAGCATATAAAATTTACAAGATCTTTATACAATGATAAATTCACTAATTTGCTAATCGATTTCATTATTATTTTATGAACAAGGATTAGTTTGCAGCAATTTAATTGTAAAAATTACAAAATTTAATTATAAAAATCTTATATCTCATTGCTTTGACTGGATTATACATTTTGCGATTAATAATTAATTTACCAATCGTATGGATATGTAAAAAAAAAAAAAAGAAATTATAGAATTGTCGATTTATATCTGCTACATACTTTTTAGAAAAAACAATTTAACTGGAAAATGATATGGTGAATGGACTGTGATAAAGAAAATCTATAGGTGTTTAAGTGTACATTTGTCAAAGCTTAAAAAAAAAAAATTATTAAAAGAATGCTTAGTGTAAAAAACAATGTTAGAAAATGGCAACCTCTGGAGTATGTGTAATATATAGAGTATATATTCACAAATTTATATTATTATTGTGTAAGTATACATAAAGTATAATTCTGTCATTTATTGAGAAAATTATAAGAAAGATAAAAATTAAATAAAAAAATAAATATTTGAATACAGTATGTAATATGTACTAAATGTATATGTATAATTGTGTACTAGAATAGATTGCTATCAAGTGGATATTGCCATCGAGATGAGTACAGCCTTATAAGAACAATGATAATCATCATGCAAATGTTATACTGTTCGCGGCCATAGAAGATAAGTGGAACATTGATCATTCATTCGAAATCTCGAATTCTGAGTCCAAAATTATGAAGTTTCAAGTGGGCTTCCCAAGATTATTGGATTTATAAATCTTCATGAACTCATGAATTATTAGATTATAGAAGTTCTAAGCTTCACCAGCAATTAATAACCTTCTTAATGACCTATGATCTCAAGTTGATGAAGGATGGCATTCACTAAGAGAAATTATGACTTTCAGATCCGAAGGTGGCCATTTTCTACTGTCGATGTTTTGTAAGGTTTTCGGTAGTAGCAGCAACAGCGGTAGTAGTGACAGCAGCAGCAGCACTACCTAATACAACTATCGATCACCGAGAAGTCTTCGGGACGGTCTTTTTGACCCTTTCAATTCTATTTAATGGTATTTTTGCTATGCTTCGAGAATCTTGTATTACTGATTGTATTCAATTTTATACATAGTAGTGAAAGAGTCGTGGCTCACAATCTGAATTTTAAATTTGTTTGAGAAAATTCCTAATAAAATCCCGAGAAGACAGCTCGGTGCACAATGCAATCACAAACAGTCCACTACGTCCTAAAATGAGCGCCTAGGTTCGAAAGTGGCCGGAAGTCAGCGAAGAATTCCCTTCTGCTCTAAGGTGGCTAGTGCTCTCCGATACCTTGTCGACTCTCTCGACGAAGAGAGGGCTTGCTCTGGCGAAGGGGTTCCTCGAGGCTTTCCATACCCTCGGCTCCTTCCCCTTCGTCGCCACCTCTTTCGCTGCTCATCGAACGCTGACGCTGACGTAGCTTTGACGCATTGTTCAGTGGCACTGTCGCGATAATTTCGGTTACGTCGGTTGTATTTCGTACGATTTTTCCAAAAATGTCGCGGTGTACGTGTGTGTGCGCGGATAATGATAAATGTAAAAGAAGCGTGTGTTGTAGAACGATTTATTTCCTTTTACTTTTTATTCAATTTGATCTTAAACTCAACACTACGCGCTGTTAATAGAATTTTGATTGCGCCAAGTTTTTGATAGATATTTTGATGAGTGGATAAATTTAATAGAAATTTGAAAACTCGCGATATAGATAAATTCGTAAACAACGTGTATTGGAATAAATTTTTTCAGAGAGTCATTCGTTTGTTTCATAAAATTTAATTTATTCGGTCAATTTAGATTCGCAACTTGATTGAAACTTTGCTAATCGTTAATGTGTGATGATAGGTACTGTGCTGGAAAATTGTGTTAGTTTTTTTTATACGTGAAATATGCTTTTTTCTTGACTATCTCAAGTGGAAAAGATATAACGATTTCTTTGATATTATTTTACTTTGATATTATTTTTCCTTCGTTAAAAGTTAAAATGAATAAAATTTTGTGCTCAGTTTTGATACACTATCGTTGATACTTATAAACAAAAGATAAATAAAATTATGACCGAGTATACAATTTTGATATTTAATTGATAATTATACCTTACAGCTGATGAAAATGTTCAGATGAAGATATTTAATGACGTTGCCGTTTAAAAGTGAACTTACCTTGGTTGACCTGAGACGTGACAAAAGTCTTGATGAGTGTGTCTGTTGTTTGCGTATACAGACTCAAGGCATATCGCAAGCTTTGCAATTCCGGTGATTTCTCCAAGAATGTCTTCTTCAAACCGTTGCCACCTGCGTGGAAGTACTGTTTAATGGTATCGAGGGCAACCTCGAGGACTGCACACTGTTTCGGCGAAAGATTCTTCTCTACTTCCTTCGAAATATCCTGTACGTAAAAACAATGTATTTATAATGAAATATATCTTTTAAAATATATCGGTTACTAAGTTATTCACAATGACGCACCATTACACCGCTCAGTGCGTTCTTCACATCCGGTTTGCCGGCCATGTGATTCTTAAACAATTTCGACATGTCTTCTATCTTAGCATTCGCGGCCAGATTCTTCGCATTGTCTGTTAGATTCTTGAACATCATCTATAAAATGAACGTGGCAAAATACATTTTAATTTTATAACTCGATTAAAAATTTTTAGAAATAGAAAATTCCAAGAAATACAATCGTACACTCTTGTCTGACATAGGCGGTAGCACCACTGTCTTCTCCAGAATCCTCATGACGATCTTCCATAATTCTTTCAGCAATCTCTTGAGCACAGTCTTTTCGCAAGATTCAGCGTACAACGACAAACTTCCATCGAGAAGATCCATGAGAGGACGCAATACTTCGTCAGCTTCGACGGCGACGTTGTTTCTTTGAGCAGGTTGCACTTGTCCACTACCTTTAATAGCTAACAACAGATCTCCTAATTCTTTCACGGAAGCTGTTATTCTTGGTTCCAAACTCTTTGCAAAGAGCATAGCAAGATCGTCGAGTGCTCCATTCAATTGTTGTTGAAGTTCTTTCAGAATGTTCGCCGCATCCTCTTCTAATTTCTCTCCGCCCATCGATTCGAACATCTTTTCTAATTGCACTCTCAATTGTTGAATGTTGTTCATAAGAATGCAAGCCTAAAGGAAAGAAAAAAAAGGTACGCTTTACAAACCATTTAATCGAAGTTATCGAAAGTGTACGCACGATTCTCTCTTCCTTCAGATGACTTGGGAATTCCTTCTTCACGATATCCGCGTATGCGACCAATACTTTCACAATGGTCTTTGCAAATCTCTTCATATACCTCTTCCAGATTTCCGGATCTGGACACTCCAGTTTGGAGACCACGTCGAAACACTGGGTTAATTGTGTGAAGACGTCGACGACGGAGACACTGAACAGCGCGTGTTCGCTGCTCTTTTGGAACTGTAAACAGTTTTACGTACGATATTAAACGACACGTGTACGTAAACACGATATTCTACGTATCTGCCTGTAATTAAACAAAATCGAAACGCTTAGAAAGGGAACGCTTACTCCGTCCTTCTTGTCTCTGTTGAAGGCACCATGGAGATATTCCAGTGAGACGTCATCGTTCTCGTTCAACCATTGCATGACAAACGGCTCGAACCACGCAGGGTACTCGGGCACAGCGCCTTTGTAAGGCGGCACATCCTTCACGTAATTGGTATGCAACCATTTAACCTTGAAATGGAGGTTCATGTAGGCCGAAGATTTGCACAATCTGTGCTGCTCGTGCTCCTCCAACGCGTATTTCATGTCCACAGCGAACAAGGACCACATGGTGGCCGCCGACAATTGACCGATGTTCAATTCCTGGGGGAATTGGTTGAGGACGGGTGCGTAGCTGTTTTTATCCTCCTCGATCACCGAAACGATCAGCGCGATCAACTTGTGCCAGAAATCCAACGATTCCAAACGAGGGCCGTGGTCCTCGGCGTCCCTCTTCGCCTCGTTCGGATCCACCTGGAATTCCCTGTTGTAGATGTCGTAGCAATTCTCGAAGAGGAACTGGTAGGTCGATCGAAGACACGCCTTCACGCAATCCTTGACCACGGTGCTCGCCCTCGGCGGGCTGGACAATTCCAGAACTTTCATACGGAAGAATGTGATACTCGTGAGAAGGTCGACCGTGCTCTTCAGGTCCATCAGCTTCTCCTGGCTCGAGGCAGGGAAGTTATTTCGATACATGGAGAGATCGATTCGAAGGGAGTTGTGCAGCTGATCCAGTAATTTCACGAACTTCTCTTTCTGAAATGCAACGAAGAAATGGACCGTGAAGAAAGGGAAATGTGTTTTGTATCGAGTTTCCATAAATAACGAATGGCCATCGGAAGAAGGGGAGGCCTCCCTCTCGGTCTCGCCGAGATCATTTATCCAATCCCAAAAGTTATCTTGCGCTTATCTCGCGGGAAAACGTATGTGCGAGATTCGATCCCTCTGGAGCGAGAGAGAATTGGGAGGGGAGGGGAAATAGGAAGGACGAAGTATGGATCCATATGATAGATCGGGCTTATGATAGGTTGCAAGTCGATAAAGTATGGTATACAAGTTGAAACGAAGTTGAAGGATTAACGAGATACTCTAACTTGTGATAATCTCTTTTTTATTCCATCATTTCGATCGTGAAGTAATTCTTTTTTATGCGAAATAAGAATAATAGTTGTCGATTAGATTAACTCGTATATTGATGTTTACAAACTGGTATTAACTCCTTCTTGTTTATTTGCTAATATTTGGAAATGAAAAATTGATTTTCCTCGTCTGATAGATTATGATGGTATTAAAAAGTAAATACAAATTTTAAATGTTGTTACGAAATTTCGAATTTATTTTCTTGAGTTTTTATTTCTTTCGAATATTGAATTTTTTTTCTCCAAAATCTTTATCGTGCTTTATCTCTGGATATAGTATAGGATAATTCAACTGCGTAGTATTGTTTACGATTTGTGGGAGTTTACGATCCCAACGTGCTCGTAGAATCGAAAATATTCAAGAAGGAAAACGAACGATCGAAAGGAAAAAGAGAGACACGGATTATAAATAATTTAATAAACAATTTCGTCGAATAGAATGAAAATTAAGTAGTAAGATATCAATAAATGTAATTCGATGATATCGAATACATTTTATTCTTCATTTATTTAGTACATTTATTATGAATAAAAGAGAAACAGTATATATGTAAAAAAAATAATTAAAACGAAGAAAGGAAACTTCTTTCTTTCTTTCACATAAATAATTTTCAAGATTTTTAATTACTTTTTTCAATTTTGTATAACGTTTTATCTATCTTTTTATTGATCATTATAATTTCACAAGTTTGTTTGTTTCTGTGATACGTTTCCTTCGATCCTCTTTTCGTTAGCATCACCTATCTTTTCGTTAAAGTTTTCGCAAGATAAAGTTATTGGATCGTATGTGTTGGAAAGATAGAATCATACATAATTCAACTCGAAAACAGGAACGATCGTTTTTTCTCTCCCTTCTGGCAACTTTTTTGAAAAAATTTACATTGTTTTACTGGAATGAGTCTCTGTCACGAACGATGGAATCTGTAATTCCGGGATTTGCATAGTCGAAAATTCTAGTTTCCTCGAAAAATTTTCTCTCTTTAAATCACATATCAACACCAGCATTTATTAAAAACGAGAACATAGTTTTATTTGCAACGATACCATCTTTTTACCATACACCATAATTCTGTTTAACAATTTATCATTCTATTCTTTCTTTTATCATTTTAAATTAATTTACATTACATATTTATATACTCGAACACGTAAGGATCATTTATAAAATTATCTACAATTCTATGATATTAAATCAGAATATTTTGCTTCTATAATACACGACTATAATAATAAATCATTATTCGATTAACAATTTCCATTATACAGTGAAAAAATGCAACAAGATTCCTGCTACGTATGTAATAAAAATAAGAGAAGGATCTTGATTAAAATTTTAATTAGACCAGATCGTGTTATCAATTTTCAGCTATGGTAAACTGCGAAATGGAAAGGATGGGGAAGAAGCGGATAAGAAGTAATTTAATCGAAGGATTTCACCACGAAATTGATGGAGCCACGAATCTATCTCTGGGTAACAGCATAGAAAAGGATATTTCTCAATCACGGTATTTTCTTTATTTTCATCCTCTTTTTATCAAACTTGTAATAGCAATGCCTGGACGCGTTTGTGAGATATTTATTTGTACC